ACGGCCCAAAGAAAGGAAGAAGGAAGGCAAAGAAACGGCGTTAGTTTTTGGTGTTTTATGGCCCCACATTCTAAAACGTGTCAGAATATTATTGGTTCGGGACACATCCCACGTGGTATACCCGGGATATTGTAGACTTTCTCCCATGTTAGGGAGGCAACGGTAACGCAAAAAAATTTTGTTAGAGATGATGTGGGTAAGGTGGATCCCACAAGGTAAGGCGGTAAAAAAAAAAAAAGATTGAAAAAGGCCTAACCAGTGTGACCGTCACACTTAACGGTCAATAAAGAGCACCGTTAGCTTACATTGATGGAGGGACGACATTGGCATTCTTTTGCATTGTAGAGGGATGACAGGTGGAGTTAATTAATAGTAGAAGGATGACATGGAGCTAATTCATAGTAGAAGGTTTAGATTGCACTATTTTTTATAGTAGAGCGAGGATAGATGGCATTAACCCCATTAATTATTATCAAGGAAGTCAATTAGTACGACCAAATTAATAACATAAGAATCTGATAATCGAACAAAAACAGCCGAGGTTGGTTCGAACCAGAAGGTTTTACACCACATGCCTTAATCAGTGGGAAATTAAAACTCTGGTGCCCAAAATGAAAAAAAGAAACAACCTAAAGTAAGCAGAATATTTCTTTCACTTTAATACCAAATTCATTTCCATCACGAACATATTCTCAAAAAAGGATGCTACTGCTAGAAATTATAAGGGTAAAAAATTTCAAGCAATTGGTACAATAGCAAAAAATAGATAAATTTCTACAAAAGAATTCCGAAAGTCCGTTTGGTTCCTTGGAAACTTAATTAATAACTAATCTCTATTCACAGACTTATGGCATCAAGATAATTTTAGTTTCCGTTTCATTACCTAAACAAAAAGAAAAGAATTTTCGGCCAGAAATTTTCTGGGAAAGTAATGGTTTAAAAAAAAAAAAAAAAAAGCGAATCTAGAAAGCAGAGAAGTTCCTAATCTGACAGCAACACATTATGAAATTGAAAATCTCCGCCTTTAAAAGAAAAGGGAAAAGGAAGAGAAGATTTTACGCGGTTGAGTCTGAGTAATCTGCAGAATGCAAAGTGCGAACACAGATAGAGCGGGAATAGGAAATAAATACTGAAAAATTAAGAAGCCCGGTGTTTTGTAGAAACCAGACTGAAAGATAAGGTTTTGTTTGTCTGTGTTTTAGTGTGTTGTAGGGATAAGGGTTTTTTTTGTCTTTTACTATTCAAAAATATACTCCATGATCCTGAGCTCCTTCCTAATCTAAGTTGTAAGACCCAGAGGCAATGCAAATGGGGTTCTACCACGCAAAGGGTTAGAACCAGATCTGGGTTTTGTTATCGAACCCAGATTAGTCTCCAGCCGAAAAATGAAATAAGGGGAAACAGAATGTAGGAGGGATGGGAGAGAACGGAGGACGAGAAAGCCTGTCGATGCTAGAGAGGGGGAAATATCACCGTTACTAGAGTAGCGGAGGTGAGAACGAAGAGAAGATAAACAGGATGGTGTAAGTAGGATTGGTAAGAAGATAAAGAGTGGAGTGCGTTTGTAATTTTTTTTTTTTGAACAGTATACAATTTGGGGATGGGGAAGGGAGTTTTTCAACACGGCGGTGGAGTTCGAAATTTTCTCTATTTCATTTAAACACTTTAAGTTTTGGGGTTGAATTATAGAATTTAAAGGCCTGGTTCACGTTTGTA